GATCCCTTTCAAAGTTAAGAAAAATGATAAAATACAATACTCTTGAGATTATTTGCTTTTTGTCAAATCAAAATCTTTGCCCAAAGATTAAGGCAATATCTGGTAGGTATGTGGGGAGGCAGCAAGATTGTAATTTTGAACTTGAATGATAGGGGTTAGTTACCGTCACACTGCTTGCCAAGTGTCATGCAAGGATGAGACGAGAGGAACACAAAGAACCGTGGATATGTTGCCGAAGCCGAGGCATTTTGTGGGCTTCTCAAATGAGCAGGAATACCCTCCCGGAGTAAAATGTAGTTGATACCTTTGTTTAAAGAACAATTTGGAAAAATACTTCTTCACAAGACCTAAAAGATGGCCATATTTAACTTTGGAACAGTTTGTTCCTTTTACTTTAAATGGAAGAGCATTTTCTTTCCCATAAGCATTAAAGACAGCACTATATCTCCATTTTTAAGTAGTTTTAGGCTGGGCGTACTGGCTCACATGTGTAATCCCAGCACTTTGGGAGGAGGCTGAGGCAGGAGGATTGCTTGAGCTCAGGAGTTCAAGACCAGCCTAGGCAACACAGTGAAACCCCATCTCTACCAAAAATACAAATATTAGCGGGGTGTCGTGGTGCATGCTTGTAGTCCCATGACTCAGGAGGTTGAGGTAGGAGGCTTGCTTGAGCCCATAAGGCAGAGGTTTCAGTGAGCTGAGACCACACCACTGTACTTCAGCCTGGGTGACAGAGACAGGTCTTGTCTCAAAAAAAATTTAAAAAGTAGTTTAAGGGGGCAAAAAGTGGGATCCCTTTTCTGACCTGGCTAAAGCTTCCTTCATTGATGCACGCAATTATTTATTTATTTATTTATTTATTTATTTATTTATTTATTTATGTTTTGAGATGGAGTCTCACTCTGTCACCCAGGGTAGAGTGCAATGGTGCGATCTTGGCTCACTGTAACCTCTGCCTCCCGGGCTCAAGCGATTCTCCCACTTCAGCCTCCCAAGCAGCTGGGATTACAGGCGTCCGCCACTACGCCCGGCTAATTTTTGTATTTTTAGTAGAAACAGGGTTTCACCATGTTGGCCAGGCTGGTCTCAAACTCTTCAAGTGATCTGCCCGCCTCAGCCTCCCAAAGTGCTGGGATTACAGGCATGAGCCATCGCGCCTGGCCAGCCTCATGCAATTTTTAATGTATATTTAGTCATCATAATAACTGTGTCGGAAGGTTTAACTAAAAGAAAGCATACTGAAATACTTTTCCTGGGGAAAGGCAATGACCACGCATTTCTTAAATAGAATAAAATTGGTGATTTATACACCAGTTCCCCTACCCCCATCTCTTTAAACTTTGTACCCCTTGTGCCCAGCAAGAAATAGTAGAAATAGGTATTCTGTCAGGCATGGTGGCTCACGCCTGTAATCCTAGCACTTTGGGAGGGTCACTTGAGCCCAGGAGTTCAAGATTAGCCTGAGCAATACAGTGAGATCTCATCTCTACCAACAAATTTTTCAAAAAATTAACCAGGTGTGGTGGCACGTGCCTGTGGTCCCAGGTACTCAGGAGGCTGAGGTGGGAGGCTTGCTTGAGCCCAGGAGGTTGAAGAAAGAAGGAAGGAAGGAAGGAAGGAAGGAAGGAAGGAAGGAAGGAAGGAAGGGAGGGAGGGAGGGAAGGAAGGAGAGAAAAAGAGAGAGAAAGGAAAGAAAAGAAAGGAAAGAACGAAGGAGGGAAGGAAGGAGGGAAGGAAGGAAGGAAGGAAGGAAGGAGGGAAGGAAGGAGGGAAGGAAGGAAGGAAAAAATAGGTATTAAATTAAAGTTTCTTAAATAAAAACGGATTTTTTCTTCCTAATGCATGTTTTCTCCTCATTTTTCTTATCCGAAGTCTTCCCTTGGAATATAAGTAAGTTTTCCTCCTTCACATTTAATATTTCATTGCCTGATTGTTTTTCAGTTTAAACAACAGGAGAATCCAATAACAAATCTTTACCAACAGCTAAGAGTTACTGAAAGTGCCTTTTTAGTTATAAAAAGTTAATCCATTTTTAATGTAAGGCAAGCAGTTCACAATTAAACCTAAGAGGATAATTTACTGTAGATAGACGTGAAGTACCTAAAAAGAAATGAATATCCAATCTACACCTATATAATGGCAAAAAATAGAGCTAGACTTTCAGAGTCAGAGTGGACCTTAATGTCAGGTCGGCAGGTCTGGGCTCACATTCAATCCAAACCAAGCTTTGCTGAGTGTCCCTTCCCTCCACTTTCTCCTGAATCATTCCCCCTTGGGCTAGGAGTTTCCAAGAAGGCAAATAAAGGAAGATAAGCAACAAGGGAAAAGGATGGCAACTCAAATGTGCAGTTCAAGGCTTTGAATACGAATTTTTTTTAACACTAATGAAAAAGGTAGTATCACAGCTCTTAAAATATTGAAATACTTCTCTCTGTCCAATATCAGCACATAATGCAGAAAAGCCCATTGGGAACATGTTCCTCTCCTTTAAATGCCACTTGGAAAGCTTCTTCATTATTCATAAATGATGAATAAAAGACCGGGCGTGACCAGGCATGATGGCTCACACCTGTAATCCCAGAACTTTGGGAGGCTGAGGCAGGTGGATTGCTTGAGGTCAGTTCGAGACGAGCCTGGCCAACATGGTGAAACCTCGTCTCTACTAAAAATATAAAAATTAGCTGGGTGTGGTGGCACGCACCTGTAATCCCAGCTACTCAGGAGGCTGAGGCAGAAGAATTGCTTGAACCTGGGAGGTGGAGGTTGCAGTGAGCTGAGATCACACCACCGCACTCCAGCCTGGGTGACAGAGCGAGACTCAGTCTCAAAAAAAAAAAGTAGTGTTTACAATATAAGGGAAATTGGGATCTCATGTTCTAATTCAAGGAATTTAAGGCTATTAACCATTTTAAAGTTCTCATGTTTAAGCTTCTCACTTTATTTCTTTATTCAAGAAAATCCATAATAGCAAGTGTTGACAAAAATGTGAGGAACTGGAACTGCCATACACTCTAGTGGGAGTGGAAATTGGTATAACCACTGTGGAAAACTGTTTGACAGTATCTATCAAAACTGAACATATCCCTTCCCTATGATCCAGGAATTCTACGTGTGGGCATAATCCTTTATATACGGTGTTTATGTCCACCATACATAAAACAATGTTCACAGCAGTGCTATGCATAATTACACAAAATTGGAACAACTTCCATGTGCTTCAAGAACAGAATGGATAAAATAAATTATAACATCTATTCATACCATGAAATGGTACTGGCAATTAAAAAAAAAAAAAACAAAACACACTGCTACGGAGAACAAGGTTGAATCTTATTATTATAATGTTGAGTAAAAGAAACTGGACATAAAAGAGCACACGATGATGGTTTGCTTCACATGAAGTTCAAACACAGGCAAAAGTAACCTACGGCATCAGAAGTCAGAATAGAGGCTACCTGGGGAGGGAGCACTGACAGAGAGGTTGGAGCTAAAATTGCTTTATATTTCAGTCTGATCGTGGTTATTTGGGCACACACATATATGAAAACTAATGAAATTGTACTCTTAATATTTGTGCATATTTACTGTGTGCCAATTATACTTCATTTAGAAATATCTGGAGAGAGATATAGAAATTTCTGAATTCTTTCCTAAATATAAAAGAATTCAATACAGCTTAAATATAGTTGCAAGTATTGACGCTTATACCTTTAGAAAGCCCATTATGCTTCTGAAAAATGCACTTACTACTTAATATCATACATAATAGAAAGCTAACATTTTGTATTAATGGAATCTGAAAAACACATTGTACTATACATTTGAAATTACAGATTTACTAACTAGTAAAGATAAATGTTTGAGAACTAAACTACAATGTTTAAGAACTAAAATTTAAAAATGTTTTTCCACTTTTTTCCCTTGATTTACATTTTTTACTTTTTATATTTCATAATTATTTGTAACAAAAGCTATTAGATATAATTCCTGCACTTCTATATTGCAAGTATTTTCTCTATTTACCACAGAGACTTCAAGTCTTAGCATTTCAGAGCTGAAGGGGACACGCACGGACTCCCTCACTGCACAGATGAGGACGCAGAGGCCGGGGGAGGTGAGTGTCAGTCCCAAGGTTGCAGACCTAGGACAGGGACCCGGGCTCCCGGGCTCCCAGAACTCTGTCGCCTTCAACCCAAATTCGATTCAGTCCTCTCATCCTTCCAAATAGAAAGCTGACACGAACCGATCGGAAGCTTTTTTTTTTTTTTCCAATAACTATGCTACCCAGCAGATTCTTTGGGGACAGTCCTCGGAGTCCTTGAAAACCCCACTGGGGTTTAATGCCAGGATAAGAAGAGCGTAGAAGAAAGAGACAGCTAGTATTTTAATATATAAATCTGTTTGCATAATATTTCCTAGGTAAACTATTCGCTGATCCAACCAAAATTCGGCGGGGCTGGGGTGTATCGTTATTGAGGACGACTCGCTCTAGGGGAGAACCCGGACGCATTTTTCCATCAGAGTTCCCTCTATAAATCAAAACCTCAAAAGAAGAGTTAACGACGACACCCAGGAGTCTACAGTATCCAGGGGTCGGTCCAGGAGAGGTCCCTGGCCACCTGGCGCAGAGCTCGCGGCCGCAGACTCCCACGGACGGCCCAGCACCGGAGCGCGCGGGCCGAGCTGCCCCAGACCCGGCGCAGCGCCTCGGGGAGGCCGTCTGCAAAGTCCGGGCCGCCACTCGGGACCGCGGACCGGGCCAGAGGAGAGACGTCGGAGAAGAGGGAAGAGGACGCGGGGTGGGAAAAGCCGGGGCCGCGGGCAAGTAGTGGGCGAGTCCGGAGGGCGCGAAAGAGGGGAGGGGCGCGGGAGGCAATGGAAGGAGCGAGCGCCGGGAGGAGCGAGGCGGCTGGGCCGGAGGAGGCGCGCGCCCGGGTCCACAGTGTTGGGTGGGGGCTGAGGGGCCGCGAGGGGCTGCGAGCGGGCTAGCGGGGCCTTACCGAGCAGCGGCAGCCGGCCGCCGCCGCGCGCCAACGCCGGCATGGCCTCCGGAGCCCGGGGTCCCCAGGCCGCGCCGGCCCAGCCCTGCGATGCCGCCTGGAGCGGCGCGCCCCGCGCTGCAGGTGGCTCTCTTAAGGATGCGCGTCACCGACCGCAAATTCCCTCGGACTGGTGCAAAGTGGAAGGGGGGAGGAACCCCTCCCAGAGGCAGGGGCCGAGGCGGGAGCGGAGAGGTTGGGCCGAGCCGAGCAGCCGGTGCCTGGCGCAGCGCTGCAGCCGAGCCCACGTGCCCGCCGCGGTCCGCAGCCTGCGCTTGGCGGCCCTCGGGGCTCCCCGACTGCGGCGGGGAAGATTGGGCGCGGTCCCGCTGGAGAAGTTGCACGGGCTCCGCGGCTTTGCCTCCTTGCTGCCCCTGTGAGTCCCCGAACTCTGTCGTTTGGATCCGGGGCGTGGGGACTGCAGGGAGCCACAAACCACCCTTCTAGCGCTCTGGGATCTTTGAGGCCCTGAGAAGGGCGCTGAATCCGCGCGGCACGCTGGCGACTCCGGCCAGCGCACAGGCGAGCATGGGGTCTCATTCCATTCCCCCTGGATCTTAATTGTGGACTGATTTCCTTTGTCTCTCCCTCCATCTCCTAGGATGCCCAGGACCCAGTCAGCGGCGGGAGCAAGAAAAACAGGCAGGGTTTCAATGTCAGCCAAGGCATAGGGAGGTTAACAAACACCCCTGAAAACAAAACACACAGAAAATACATCCCAGAGGATGTTGCGAATCATCCGCTCAATGGTTCTTCTTCTTCGCATAATTTTTCGAGTTGAAAATTATTATTATTTTCCTGCAATAAGTTGAAGATTGGAAAGCTCTGGATGCCAATTCTGGTTCTTCCCTTACTTAACTGGCCGTTTGACCTCCACAAACCTCTGTTTACTCATCGTAAAGGAAAGGGGTAGACCAAATGGTTTATAATGTCTCTCCCAATTCTAGGAATTCCATGCTCTTAATTATTTTAATCATTTTCTAATAAAGCATGAAAATTGTTTACTCTTGGCCATACAGTTATTTTCCTTAGATGTTGTTTACAGTACAATAATTCTTTCCCCCAGGACATGGCCGAAACTTTAGAAGTGTCTACTGTGGTGCAGCCACTATAGGAAACACTATAGAGGTTTCTCGAAAAATTAAAAAAAATATGGTCCAGCAATTCCATTTCTGGTCATGTAGCCAAAAGAATTGAAAGCAGGGTTTTGAAGAGATGTCTGTACACCCATGTTTAAAGCAGCATTATTCACAGTAGCCAAAAGGTAGAAGCAACCCATGTCCACAACAGATGAATGATGAACAAAAATGCAGTATATACATACGACTGAGTATTTTCCAGCTTCAAAAAGGAGGGAAATTCTGATACATGCTAAAATATGGATGAATCTTGACGACATTATGCTAAGTGAAATAAGCTAGTCCCGAAACATACAATGCTGTATCCCATTACGAATTCATAAAGACAGAAAGTAGAATGGTGGTTACCATGGGCTGGGGGCAGGGGGAAATGGGGAGCCAGTGTTTATTGGATACAGAGTTTCAGTTTTGCAAGATGAACAGAGTTCTGGAGACTGGTTGCTCAACAATGTGAATGTACTTAACGCTACTAAACTGTACACTTAAAAATAGCTAAGGCCGGGTGCGGTGGTTCCTGCCTGTAATCCTAGCACTTTGGGAGGCCGAAGCGGGCAGATCACCTGAGGTCAGCAGTTCAAGATCAGCCTAGCCAACATGGTGAAACCCCATCTCTACAAAAATACAACAATTAGCCAGGCGTAGTGGTGCATGCCTGTAATCCCAGCTACCTGGGAGGTTGAGGCAGGAGAATAGGAGAATCTCTGGAACCCGGGAGGCAGAGGCTGCAGTGAGCTGAGATTGCACCACTGCACTCCATCCAGCCTGGGTGACAGAGCCAGACTATGTCTCAAAAAAAAAAAAAAAAAAAAAAGGTTAAGATGGTAAATTTTATGTATGTGTATTTTACCTCAATTTTAAATTTTTAAAGTTTTTGTGTAGCTGCTGAGGGTTTAAAAATTTTGTTAAAGAGTTTTGTGTCTACCTTAGGTCAGAAACAGCAATGAAGGAAGAAGGCCTGAAATAAGTGAAACATGAGGAGACAAGACAATGAAACGGGCTGGTTATGGGGAGAAAAGTGAGCTTCCAATGGCCAAGACCTAACACACTACCTTTTATTTAAAGCTTGATTGCTGTCTTAAAGGAAACTGATTGGCTGGGCGCTGTGGCTCACGCCTGTAATCCCAGCACTTTGGGAGGCCAAAGCGGGTGGATCATTTGAGGTCAGAAGTTGGAGACTAGCCTAACCAACATGGTGAAACCCTGTCTCTACCAAAAATACAAAAAGTAACTGGGTGTGATGGCACGCGCCTATAGTTCCAGCTACTCAGGAGGCTAAGGCAGGGGAATTGCTTGAACCCAGGAAGCGGATGTTGCAGTGAATTGAGATCATGCCACCGCACTCCAGCCTGGGCAACAGAGCAAGACTTGGTCTTAAAAAAAAATAAAACGAAATTCGGCCTGGCGCAGTGGCTCACGCTTGTAATCCCAGCACTTTGGGAAGCCAAGGAAGGTGGATCATGAGGTCAGGAGTTCAAGACCAGCCTGGCCAAGATGGTGAAACCCCGTCTTTACTAAAAATACAAAAAATTAGCCGGGCGTGGTGGCACGTGCCTGTAATCCCAGCTACTTAGGAGGCTGAGGCAGAGAATTGCTTAAACCTGGGGAGTGGAGGTTGCAATGAGCCAAGATAGCGCCACTGCACTCCAGCCTGGGTGACAGAGGGAGACACCATCTCAAAAAAATAAATAAAATTTAAAAACTAAAAAAAAAAAGAAAAGAAAAGAAACTGATTGTTATACATTTGCAGAACATCAGCTTGAGTGCAGCAGTATTCAGGATGCAAAATCATAAAGATGCTGTTTTGTCCAAGAATCTTGGACACAAGGCAGAGATCTCCATGAAAAGGGTGTTGGTGAGAGAGGAGAAGTTAGGAATGGTTTCTTTTTTTCTGAGACGGAGTCTTGCTCTGTCGCCCAGGCTAGAGTGCAGTGGCGCGATCTCGGCTCACTGCAACATCTGCTTCCCAGGTTCAAGCAATTCCCCTGCCTCAGCCCCCTAAGTAGCTGGGATTACAGGCGCACGCCACTGCGCCCGGCTAAGTTTGTATTTTTAGTAGAGAAGGGTTTCACTATCTTGGCCAGGCTGGTCTCAAACTCCTGACCTCGTGATCCACCCGCCTTGGCCTCCCAAAGTGCTGGGATTACAGGTGTGAGCCACCACGGCCAGTCAGGAATGGCTTCTATGCACACTTGATTTTCCATGGAAATTGGTGGAAAAAATAATTCTAGAAAGAGCAAATCTTATAGACTGAAATATTTTGGAGTATGAGGTATAGGCTAACAGAAGGTGAAGTAATGCCCCTGGTTTTTTGAGATGTGCCAAGAATCATATCTAATATGAGAACTAATTTCTTCCTCACAGCAACACTAAGGAAAGTAGCCTGAGATGATCTAGAGTCCTGGATTACACGCCCAGGTATGCACACCCAAGTATGAAATTTTGGTGTCAGAGCTCATGATAGGAATTCTGCAATAAAGAAACTCTTAAAGGGTCAAAAGCAACCAGAAGAAATGAAGTGAAACAGGAGAAATCAGAAAAGAGAAGGGTAAGTTTGTTTCTGGGTTGAATGGAGCGTCTAGTGCTAACTCCACAAAAGGATGTATTTTATCTAGATTCTTAGCACTGTGATGCTTAGCTGCTACACAGCCATGAGTAAGTGGTCATCTATCTTACCAGCATCTTGATGCCATGTTTCCACCCCTTAAGTCACACAAATATCTCCTCTGCCTTTCTTCTCTCTCTTCAAAAATTGTGACATAGTTTCAGTAGCAGCTCACAGGTGAAATATTTTAATGTCATTTTAAACATACAAAGCTTTATGTTCTCCTGAAAATAAGGGACAAACAAAAGGAATATTTGAATAGGGTTCACGTGAATTCAGTTGAGATATCAACTTCATAGTACAGTTTTACACATCTTTTATTAATAGGGGCTTTGAACTCACCAATTGGCAAAATCTGACAATACAAAGTGTTGGCAAGAATTCAGAGCAATGGAGAATACCCACACACAGTTGGTGGACGTCTGAATGGGTGTGAGCACTTTGAAAAATAATTTGGCATCTCTTACTAAAGTTGAACATATCCTCCAGCCAGCAGTTTCACCCCTATATATAAACCTCAGAGAAACACACATATGTGCCAAGAGACGTGTATAAGAATGTTTATAGCATTATTGTTTATATCGAAAATTGGGAACAATCTAAATGCCCACCAACAAAAGGATAAATTGCAGTACAGTTGTAATAAAATGCTTATATATTAAATAACAGTGTAAATAAATGAGCTACAGTTACCTGATACACCAGGAATGAATCTCAAAAACATACTGTTGAGGGGGAAAAGCAAGTCATGGAATAATAGACATAAAGACAGAAGCAAACGATATTTTTCTCAGGAGTACATTCTTAGGGGTATAAGGAAAGTAAAGGAATAATTATCACAAAAGTCAGGATTGTGGTTACCTCTGGTATGGGGTGGGAAGAGGAGATTTAATTAGAGAAGACAAACTGGGGATCTCTAAGGTACTAACATACCCTATTGTTGTTTTGTGATAAGGTCTTGCTACATTGCCCAAGCTGGAGTGTAATGGCTATTCACAGGCACAACCATAGCTCACTGCAGCCTTGAACTCCTGGGCTCAAGCCTCTGGGTAGCTGGGACTACAGGCGTGGACCACCATGCCCAACCACACCCTATTGTTTTTTTTAACCTCTGTGGTGGGTGCTGGATGTTCATTTTATTGTTATTCTTTAAACTACGTAATTATTTTTACACACTGCTCTATGATGTATTTCACAACAAAAGAAAATTAAAGGCCAGGTGCAGTGGCTCACACCTGTAATCATAGTATTTTAGGAGGCTGAGGTGGGCGGATCACAGGTCAGGAATTCGAGACCAACCTGGCCAACAGGTGAAACCCCGTCTGTACTAAAAATACAAAAATTAGCCGGGCATAGTGGCACACACCTGTAATCCCAGCTATTTGGGAGGCTGAGGCAGGAGAATCACTTGAACCCAGGAGGTGGAGGTTGCAGTGAGCCGAGATGGTGCCATTGCACTCCAGCATGGGA